TAAATGGATTGTTATTAATACGCTGGAGAAGATCTGTGAGGACCCGCAAAGTATGGTGGATATCTATGTAAATTATGATTGCGATCTCACTGCAACAAATATCTTCGAGCGAATCATCGATGGCTTATTTAAAGTTGCTCAGGTTGTGCACGTAGAACTCTAATTTTGGCTCGAAATTTATCTCAGTGTGTTGTTGTGGGAACCATGATCCTAAACCGATGAAGTTTGATGAGTTTTTGGCGATGTCGACATGATAAATTCAGAGGTTATAGCTTGCAACTTCTACGTCACAGGCGACCATTTGTGATTACAGAATATTATGAATTTTCCCAGAAAAAAAGTAGTAAGTGCCGCTGCTCTCGTGATAAAGATTAGAAGTTCGACTCCATCAGCGTAGCAACTAAATCCCCTACTTCATTGATTTCGGCCTAAAATTGGTGCCGGCGTAATCCAGAAATTTGTCAACTTGCTTCTAAAGAACCAACCAAGAAAGAGGAGCACGAAGCTATCACCTCGCAAGCTACTCGATTTTGTTATGTAGTACCACCGGGGATCTTTCCAGGTATGTTATCTTTCTACGAGAGTGTAATATCGCAGGAGTTTTGACTTTTACTATTCTATGAAGAATACTAAAATTTTCTGGGTGTTTCCAGGGAGGTTCAGTATCCGATTATGGAAGCTCGGCGGCTGTACTACAAAAGCAACGTGAGCGGTCTGTTCGAATTTTGGGTTTAAAGTGCCTCGTGGAATGTTTGCAGTGTATGGTCGATTGGTTCGATGATATTTGTTCCGGGCGCTCAGTTCCCGAAGGCTTGTGTTTTTTTTTTGGTTTGCGAATAGCTTCAAATGAATTGAAGCACATAAGTGAAAAGTGATGCAAATGAATGAGCAGTGAAAAAAGGAAAGCAGGAAGGTGTGTATTTTGTGCATTTGAAAGTGTATTTGAGTTGTGTGTTTGAAATTGTGTATTTTTTTGAAATTGTCAGGAAGGTGTATTTGAAAGCAGGAACATGTGTATTTTTTTGTGATGCTTGAAATCGTTCCTGCGTTTAACCTTCAGTTGTGGACGGTGAAACAAAAACATAGGAAAGGAGGTTAGGTTTCATCAGTGCAGTCTGGGCAGTCTGAAGTTAGAATCGAGGGAAGGCAAGGAGTTTTGATAGGCAGACAGGTATGTTTCCCTGGTATGTTTGAGAACCAGACTTTTCACAGAAAAAGTAGAAGTTTGTACAAATGTTCGCTTTTTTTAGGTAAATTAATTTACACTTTTAGACGTTGAATGTGTTGAGGCAGCGTCAACTGAAGCAGCTACAGTGCCGCAATCATCAGCAGTACATCAGTTCGAGCAGCTGAAACAAAGGAAAGAAACTATAGAGCATGGAATCCATCTGTTAGTTCTCCCAGCAATTTTGTCAGCATTTTTGGTTTTTTTTTTTCAAATACTGGGCTTGCTAACGAACCAAAACAGCTTTTAGGATTTGCTACTTCTCCAACTATTCCCGAGTGTTTCTGCCTCTTAGGGAGTGATTGCGGAGAGGGTTTTGACTTTCTTCAAAAAACGGCATACCTTCAGCCAGCCTTAAAAAAATTCAAGTTAAAACTGTTCGTAAAGCTTGTAAGTGATAGCCGTAGAATATTTTTCTTGACCTTTTTCTAGTGAAGGAGGTGAGTGGATGAGGATGTTAAGAAAGGTTCGTGGATGCAGGTGCGACGG